CCCTGCACACGTGCACACTCTCCTGCTAGCATGCTTCCCTGTCCGATTTGCACTGGAAGCATGTGGGGCATCTCTATCCCCAGGGCCTTGAGCAAAGCCTGGCAGAAAGCAGGTCTTTATGAAGCTTTTGGTGATTGAATGAACGAATGACCCATGAATCTAGTCCATGAAGAGTGCTCCTGTCCCTTCCAGAGACACTACATCCCTATCAATACAGACCAGGGCTGCGTTTGGACACATTTTCCCACAGGGTCGTTGTACTAGTAATTATTGGGACCTGGGGGTCAACTAACTGAATTTCTCAAATCTTTCCCACGTGTCCTGGATGCTACCAAGTTTCCCCATTTTCTCCATATGTGTGTAGATGTTTTTGGATTAAAGCATAGGATTTAGGATTCCATCTAATTATTTCCTACCTAGCTATTTTATCTTGTCGATTGTGTCTTTTTTAGCCAACTAACATGTTTTTTGGGTGAGGTTGTGTAGACAGGTTTTTAATTTTTTTTTTTTTAGTGTAAGACTTACTTTATTTTTCATTTTTAAATTAATTTTTTAAACGTTTTTATTTTTTTTCTTAAGCAGGTGCCACATGCATGGAGCCAAGGGGGTTCTGACCCTACAACCCTGAGACCAAGGTCTGAGCTGAGATCAAGAATCAGACATTTAACTGACTGAGCTACTCAGGTATCCTGAAGATTTTGTTTTTAAGTAATCTCTACACCCAATGTGAGGCTTGAACTTAGAACCCCAAGTCACACCCTCTACTGACTGAGCCAGGTAGTTACCCTAGTAATACTTACTTTAAAAACATTTTTAATTTTTTAAATAACTTTTTAAAGACTGGGACACCTGGGTGGCTCAGTTGGTTGAGCTTCTGCTTTTGGCTCGGGTCATAATCTCAGGGTCCTGGGATCGAGTCCCACATGGGGCTCCTTGCTCAGCAGGGAGTCTGCTTTTCCCTTTGCCTCTTCCCTCTGCTCATGATCTCTCTCTCTCTCTCTCTCTCTCAAATAAATGTATAAAGTCTTTTTTAAAAATGGGACTCAGAAAAAAAAAATGGGACTCGGAGCACCTGGTGGCTCAGTGATTGAGCATCTGCCTTTGGCTCAGGTCATGACCTTGGGGTCCTGGGATTGAGTCCCACATCGGGCTCCCCACAGGAGCCTGCTTCTCCTTGTTTGTGTCTCTGCCTCTCTGTTTCTCATGAATAGATAAATAAAATCTTTTAAAAATTTTTCTTAATGGAATTGTATTTTTAACAGTACTTTTAGGTTCACAAATGATAACTTACTTTGGATTTGTTTTGATAACTTGATTTTAAGATTTTATTTTTTTAAGTAACCTCTTTGCCCAACATGGAGCTCAAACTCCTAATTCCAAGATCAACAGTAGTCACATGCTCTGCCGACTAAGCCAGCCAAGTGCCCTCTGATAACTTGACATTGAAATCCCACTGTTAGGACCAAGAGCAGGCTGCCCCCAAGAAGGGCCACTTGGGCATAAAGATTACTTCGAGGTAAAAGTAATGAAATCCCAACAGATGCAGGAAAAGCTCTCTGCTTCCCCTTCAGCTACCAAAGTTTGCATTGGAAAGGAGAGCCTGCATCAGGAAGAGAGCTTTTAGCAGACTCCCCTTTACCTAAGAACCTACATACCTGAGCAACCTTGTTTTTCCAAACTTCTCCTCTTATCTTCCTGCTAGTGGGCTTTCTCTTGTTTGTACCCTCAGACCCTCCTGGTCTCCTTAGCTCAAATAAGCTTCTCATTGCCTCATTGTCTTTGGAAGTTCATGTCTGGGTGGGTTCCCCATCATACCAGTATACCTATTAAATTTTATTTTCTTCTGTTCATCTGTCTCATGTCAATTTGGGGTTTTTTTGTTTTTAACTTTTTAAAAAGATTTTTATTTATTTATTTATTCATGAGAGACACACAGGGTGGGGCAGAGATACAGGCAGAGGGAGAAGCAGGCTCTATGTAGGGAGCCAGACGTGGGACTCGATTCCGGATCCTGGGATCATGCCCTGAGCCCAAGGCAGACACTCAACCACTGAGCCACCCAGGCGTCCCTGTCTCATGTCAGTTTGATTCTAAGTCCAGCTGGCAGGAACCACAGGGCAGGAGGAGGTCCTCTGCCCAACACCACCTTGTTGGATTCTGTCCCCCGTTCTAGCTCACTGCCATTTCTGGGGGGTGGGGTGGCCTTTGTTCCACTCCCTGGTCTCCAGTGTGGCACCTGCCATTGTGATGGGTGGGTGTCAGTCTCCATTGGTACTGGGGACACAAACTGCTGTGGTGGGTGGTGGGCACTAACATTCCCCCAGACCACTGGGGCCAGGCTTCCCATTGCTCGGCATGGGGGTCCAGTCTGGCCCACCCACACCACCTAAGTAAGCCCACACTTCCCCTTTTGCTAGGCTCCTTTGCGGACACCCACTCAGCACTTCTGCTGCCTCCCTCAGAGAAGCCTACCTAAGAGGAAGAGGCTGGCCAGGGAGTCTAGCTCCAAGTCATGGCAGACACAACTGGAGATCTACCCCGCCTTCCATGCCTCCTTCCTTTCTTACCATCAGAACCCTGATTTTAACAAGGGGGCAATGTGTACAATAAAATATCCTCGGGCAGCCCCCGTGGCGCAGTGGTTTAGCACCGCCTGCAGCCCAGGGCGTGATCCTGGAGACTCCTGGAGACCCTGGATCGAGTCCCACATCAGGCTCTCTGTATGATGCCTACTTCTCCCTCTGCCTGTGTCTCTGCCTCTCTCTGTGTGTCTCTATGAATAAATAAATAAATAAAATCTTTAAAAAAAATAAAATAAAATAAAATATCCTCAATTTTCCAGCTCCCCTTGCAGGATAGTAGGGTCATGTGACAGTTTCCTGCCAATGTCCCTCAGGGAGATGTCCTTTCTGGAAAACAGAAAGGCAAAACTCCTCTGGGAAAAAGCCTTTTGCCTTTTCCCCTTCTTCCTGCCTGGAATCACTGTGCCCTCATTCCATGTAGGCAGAGCAGGCATTATCCTCATTTTATAGATGAAGAAATTGAGGCTCAGAGACATGAATTGATTTTTGTCAAGGTTATGAGGCTCAGTTAGCTTCCACACGAAAACTTGAAGCGTCAATTCACTTCATTAACTAGCTTTCCCTTTTTATCCAGGCTGCCAGGAAGCTCAGTGCCTAATGCTGCCCCCTCCCATCCCTTGTCCTCACTGCTTCTTAGGAGACTTGAGAGGACAATCCTTTTTTGTAAGCCACCTCGAGTCCTCTTCTGGAAAGCTTGGGGTCGGGCAGCTTGTCTGTCCATGGCCCCTGTATATCTCTCCACGCTGCTGTGGGTGGCAGTGATATAAATGGACTATACATGGATGGATTCTCTGGTTTGTTTAGGTTTGGCCAACAGGCAGCATTGGTAGGAGGGAGCCTCACCCACAGGATCCCATCCCCAAGAAGCACTCCCCCACCTTCTTGCCTGAGGCCACTGTAATTAGCCAGAGGGTGCTGCCCTCTTCTTTGCTGGTCCTACCTCCTGTTCACGCCTCTGTGAACTGCTCCTTGAATTCTCAGTTTACCCAAGTTGAGTAGATCTTGCCAGGGCCGGGTCCTGGGCTGAAGGTGTCTCCCCCAATTCATATGTTGAAGTCCTAGCCCCCAAGTGATATTTAGAGGAGGACATTTGGGATGTAATTAGGTTTAGATGAGGCTATGAGGGTGGGGCCCGGTGATGGGATTAGTGCCCTTCTAAGAGGGAAAAGAGATCTCTCCCCAAGCTGAGCTTGCACCAAGAACTCAGCGAGGAGGTGGCTATCTACAGGCCAAGAAGTGGGCTTTCGCCAGGTGAGGAATCTGCTGGGACCTAGACCTTGGACTTCTAGCCCCAAGACGTGTGAGAAATAAATAGCTGTTGCTTAACCTCCAGCCTATGATATTGTTATAGCAGCCTGAGCAGAATAAGAGAGCCCAACAGAGTGCAGAGGAAATGCATTGTTAAAAGTCCTTGTGATGCTGAAAATTCAGTCCTTTCCCTTCCCTCAGAGGTGCTCAGCTTAGCATCTGGCATCTCATCACCTCTTGCCTCACCCCACACCTGCCTCTCCATTGGGCTCATGCACCTGACCCCAGCACATCCATCCCAGTGCCACAGATTCTCCGTGGATGAGGCCATGGTCTCCCTCCACTGCCCAACCTCAGGCCGGTGAAGAAATGAAGCCATCACAGCCCAACAGGGGCCATAGGTCCTCACACTTGGCGGTACATTGCAATGGGCCCTCCCTGGGAAAAGGGATATGGGTGGGGAGCCATCACGTAAGCTATCAGTTACGACAGCTGGCTGGATGAAATGACGGTGCGCACTAGCATTATGGAATAGAGAAGGGGCAGCAGCTAAGCCTGGCTGGGAGCAGTGGGAAGTCATGGAGGAATGTTTCTGGAGTGAGGTCTGGGGGGGAATCCTAGTGAGTGATGCAGGTGAAAGCATCCTGGGCAGAGGGAACTGCATGGACAAAGATCAGGAGGCAATAAACCAGCAAGGAGGATGCTGGTTGAGGGGACAGAAGGGATGGGCAGGGGCTGGGGTGGCCCACCCCAAACCAAAAAGGGGGCTGAACACCAAGCCCTAGGCCACAGGGAGTGTTCCGCCCAAGAGAAATCCACCACATGTACATTGAGGCTAGACAGGGCAGGGCTGGAGGCTGAGGCCAGCAGGGGGGTCGCCCCTTGGAGAGACCAAGGCTTAGTGTCCCTGGTGGGGGAACTCATGCACAGCCATCTCTTCCCCCTCCTACCTCCTAAGGCTCCAAGGTTCTAGGCTGAAGCCCTGTGAGTATGTATTGAGTTTAATCAATTCCAGATCCTCAAACGCTCCTTTCTCCCTGACTCCCCTCCCCATGTCTTTGCCACACACATGGTGGCCATGAGCTCATGGGGGACCCAACCAAGGAGGCAGCAGGCTGCTAAGGGAGCCCCCAACTTCCCATCCCACCTGCCCTCACAGCTTCCACTGGATCTATGTGTTAGTTTTATTTTCTTTGCTTTGGTCTATACAAAAAAAAACCAATAACCAAAAACATAAAGCGAGAATAATAAAACTCTCTGCTGGGACCACCCCCAGCCCCCCACACCCACGTGAGGAGGTGGTGGAGGGTTTGAAACAGGAAGGGGAAGAGAAAGCCCCTCACCGCACACCAGAGGGGTCAGCCAAGAGCACTTCTCAGGAGTCAGCTAGGGCGGTTGTGTGGGTGGGATGGGGTGGGATGGGGTGAGAGGGAGCTGTCCCCAGAGCTCCCAAGCAGGGGCCAAAGCCAGCTGAGCATCCTTGAGAGGGGAGCAAGCAGTGTCCTCATCTCCGTCCCATCTCCCTGGTCCATCCCTGAACTTCTCAAACAAGCTTTGGATTCTGGGACTTTGAGCATTGAACCTGGGTTCTGGCCACCCCAGGGTCTCAGAACAGTTGGTGGGTTGGAGTTCAGTGAGAAAATCAGGCCCAGAGAAGGAACCAAAGCTCTGAGGGGCCCGGGTTGCTGGAGTCAGGCCACCCAGGGTGGGGGTGGGAGTGGGGAGTGATTACTGGGTGGGGGAAGAGAGTGGGTGGTTGAGTCTAAAGCTTTAGTGCCAGGGTCACAGAGGTGGGAGGGGGTGTTGGGCCCTGGACCCACAGCCTAGGACAGAAAAGCAGGAGCATCCCTAGAAAGACCCTATAGAGGACGTCTGGAGGCATGGGCCGGCGAGAAGTCGTAGCGAGAAGTCGTGGCCCTGCTCCCCTGGGCTCAGGCACTTTCCTGTCTCGCCCTATCGCCCACATGGAGAGCCTCTCAGATGAGGAACCGCACCTGGGGGAGGGGGGGTTATACACAGAGGGGTCAGGGCAGGCCTATGGCCTCCAGGAGCTTGTGCCACCTCCGTGTCACCCACCCACTACCCACCTGCCCCCAGCAAGACAAGGGAGTGAGGCAGGCCAAGGCACACCTTCCTCAGGGGAGCTCAATGGCAAAAGGCCCCACACTCACTTCCCCCAGAAAAGGGCCAAGGTTTCAAAGGAAAGATGACAGGGCCTTTGTGAGAAGCAGGTTCTAGCGGGGAAGAAAAGCATGTCTCAATGGCCCAGAGGCCCCAGGCATGGGGGAAGCCTGCAAGCAGGAAGGTGCCGTACTGGAGTGCAGCCAGCTAGGCCAGCATATGGTCCGCCGTGGGGTAGGGGGGCCTCAGGCCGTCGCTGTAAGTGTCGATGGGATAGTCCGCGTCCATGTCCATGTGCATGTCCAGGGGGTCCAGGGGCACATCACTCGAGTACATGGGGCGGTAGGTGGCGTCCATGTCTGGGGAAAAGAAGAGAAGACGACCTTCTAAGGTCTGCAGACCACCCTGCTGGACCTCACAGTCCATCTCCAGTGGGTCTGACCCCTTCTCCACTCCCCCACATCAGGGGGCCTACACAGGAGTAGGTGTGGACTCTACAGTGGCTGCCACTGGTCATGCGGCCCTGGAGACACAATGCCTCTCCTTCACTCACATCCCCAGAGACCCCACACTGCAGGCTCTCGGGGCCCCCTGAGGAACTCTGCACACACTCACCATCTGCATAGGGCTCATTGATGGGGATCATGCTCTGGGCCTAAGGAAAGAGACAGAGAAACATTGCAGGAGGGGAGAAGGGTGCAAAATGTCGGCTCTGGGCTGGGGGGTGGGCAGCTAGAGATGCTTCTACAAAGAGGGAAAAGCATAGACCCCTCGAAGGAACAGAGGAATGAAATGGGGTTACACAGTGCCCCAATGGACTCCTCTCCTCAGTCACTTCCGAAGAGTTGAAGTTCCCACCGTTCTCACATAGGGATGCACACAAAACTAGGGCAGCCCTGGGGACAGCAGTGCACAAGATGACTTGAGAACGGGTACTGGGAGCTGCCCCACCCAGGATTGGGGCAGCAATAGCCTACAGAGCACCTCTGCACACGTTAGAAAAAGGCACCGCCCCCTGCTTCAAACACTTCTAATAACATGGACAAAATAAAATTGCCATTCTGGCAGGTCAAAAGCAGATAGTTTAACCTACCTCTGCCATCTGCTAGAAATGGTCATCAATGATCCAATTACAAAATAAAAATCTGAAGTTGACAGTATGGTAGGAGGAGCTCCCTCAAAGGCACTGTCCCATGTGCAGTGTGCAACTTGCACAACCATACATTGCAGTCCAACCCAGGATACTCACAGCCTCCCACGCAGCTGGGTCATGCTTGAAGAGGGAGTTGGTGAGCTCCACAGACACGCGTTTACGGTAATCTGGGTTCTTGTCCTCGGAGATGCGGAACAGGACAGCCGCAGCGTAGGTGGCTGAGCAGAGAGGAGAGGAAAAATCAATTCAGCGCCTGCCTTCACCCTGGCTGGAGGACCAAGACCCAGCCCCCGCTCTGTCTCCCCCTGGCCCACAGCACAGCCCCTCACCGGTGCCCTCGTTGCGGGAGTGCAGTAGCTCCATGAGTGGAGCTGAGGCCCCCTCAGCATCAATTGCATCAGCTGCCTCCTTGTCCTGGGCCAGCTCACACAGCACCCCGGCAGCCACGCGCTGGATGTTCTCCACTGACGAGTACAGGAGCTGGGGAGAGGGTGCGTGGGGTGGGGAAGGGGCGCAGGTGGGCAAGGTGTAAGGCAGATGGGAAGCCCGCTAGCCCCCCAGCCCTGTTAGTCTCGGCTCCCCTGTTCTGGACTTAACACCAGCTCCTACTAGAAAGTGTGGAAAAGTCTAAGAAACATAAAGAAATAGGAAAGAAAACCAGCCATAATTCCCCACCCACATATAGCCTTTGTTAATACACTGGCATATTTCCATCATGTTTTTATCATAGTCCTGTTTTAGGACTATGCATCCCTATTTTGATTTTTATTTTATTTTATTTATTTATTCATGAGAGACACAGAGAGAGACAGAGAGGCAGAGACACAGACAGAGGGAGAAGCAGGCTCCATGCAGGGAGCCCGACGGGGGACTCGACCCCGGGGCTCCAGGGTCAGGCCCCGGGCTGAAGTCAGTGCTAAACTGCTGAGCCACCTGGGCTGTCCCTTATTTTGATATTTTGATTCCTGTTTTGTTTGTTTGTTTGTTTGTTTTACCTCACGCTGTAACATAAGGCATTTTCCTACATTATTAAAAAGCTTTACCTAGAAATCTGAGTCCATACTGATAAGAAAAAAGAGAGTGCTAAAAAGCCAAACAATAACAAAAAAACAAAACAAAACAAAACCCCTCATTGGTCACAACTGGAGGTTGCAAGGATGCTAATCCCTTACTCTGAACTCTAGTACTTAAAGGGAAAAAATTTGAAAAGCCAAAAATTCTTCAACCTCACTGTATTCAGCCATATGATATAATGGACCTTTTTTTTTTTTTTTTAAGATTTTATTTATTTATGGGACACCTGTGTGGCTCAGCGGTTAAGCGTCTGCCTTGGGCCCAGGGCATGATCCTGGAGACCCGGGATTGAGTCCTGCATTGGGGTCCCTGCATGGAGCCTGCTTCTCCCTCTGCCTGTGCCTCTGCCTCTCTCTCTCTCTCTCTGTGTGTCTCTCATGAATAAATAAATAAATCTCTCTCTTTTTTTTTTTAAGATTTTTATTTATTTATTTTCACCAGCCCAGGGCATTCTCATTTATTTTTTTCTTTGCCAGTTTGATAGCAGAAAATGGGACGATCTCACTGGGAGCATAAGCTTCATTTCTTTAAACTCCTGGGGTTGAGCACTGCCTGTTTATGAGCGACCTGGGATTGTTTCTGCCTCTGCCCATCTAACCACTGGGGTCTAGTATTACTGAGCTCTTTTATATGAAGGATACTAAACTCTTGTCTGTTGTGATACTTGCAAACATTTTCCCAGTTTGCTACTGACTTTTTCTTGCTTTTTAGACTGTTTCTGACGTACAGATGATTTTAACGTTTATGTGGTTGAGATATTTTTCTCATTTGTGATCTCTTCCCTTGCTTTTGAGCTTGGAAAGCCATTCCCATGCAGGGATCTGCTAAGGGGTCACTCCTGGCATGGTCACTGTTCTCCAAACTCCTCCAATGACCTCTTGATGACTGGCCCAGACCCACCAAACCCATGGCTGCCACTTTCAGTAATGGCTGCAGGGGTTGGAGGGACCTCTGCTGTCCACCTGCCCCAGACTCACCTGTACAAACAGGGGTATAGTGTTGAGTCGGAAGATCTCCATGCGGTTCATGGGATCCCGGGCGAGGATGTGCAGGGCTCCAGTGCAGCCCTCCACAATCTCCTCCATCCTCACACCGTCCTGTACAACAAGAGGCATTGGGTCATGGCAACTGATAGCCCTTGGACATGCCCAAATGCCCCCACCATGACAATCTGCCAAACCTCATTGGTCCTCAGAGTTCCATTCAATTGCAACTTGCCTCCTCATTTACACACACACACACACACACACACACACACACACACACACACACTCCCTAGCAGGACAACTCTGACCTCCCCGGAAGGCACCACCAGCAAACCTACCGTGTAGGGCTGCTGTGTGCCTGCAGCCACATGACGCTGGGCATCCTGGTGAGCCTTGACCAGCAACTGGACAAGGCGGGGAATAACTGCTGCCTCCTGCAGTGGGGCATGGTTTGCTGGGCACAGAGCCAGATTCCTGATCAGGCCGATGGTTGCCTGATAAGAAAAAGGACAATAATCAGGGACATTCTTGGGCATCTAGAGAATCTCAATTTCTAAGCATCATCTCCTCCTTCCCTTGTCATCTCTCTATCCCCCAGGCCAGACACAAACATGCTCCAGACCATGAGCCACTCCTAGCCCATGTCCCTTATTCCATAGAATCTGTGGGTCCTCATGTCTAATGCTAACAGTCCCTGCTAAAATGATGCCCCACTCCAGAACATTCCACCAGCCCCATGCCCTGACCCTCACCCTTGTCCCTTCCCTCAACAACCACCCTCCCCTATACACTGGAGTTTTACTTGCTTTTCAGCTAATTCCCAAACCCTGATTAGCAGGGAGTCCTTGCTATGGTTGACTTCAAAGCTTCCTGCTTTACTGATACTTCTATTGTAATCAATCCCCAGCAAGGCAGCTTTGGGAAGAAGTGTCCTCCTCAGGGCACCCCATCTGCCAGGGGCCACTCTGGCCTCCTAGGGTCCCTCAGGGTCTTGCGAAGCAAGCTATCATCTCCTCTGACCCGCAAAACAAGAATCCAGAAGGCTAGGTACAAAAATCACGAGATGAGGACATGAGCACAGGTAGATGAACTACCAAGGTCACTTGTCACTTAGCGGCTAGGTGAAACCCTCCCCCCGCCTCAAGCTTACGGTAGGGACCAATCCCAAAGAGGGACCACATGCCTTTTTTTCTCACTATGGGTTTTTAAAATTCAATGTATAACTACTTGAGAGTCATTCCTATCTGTACTGTCAAACTGTCTAAAACTTCATCAATGGGAGCCCTGCCAGCTGGCTCTCCTGCCCTCAGGCAGCCTCCTGTGGAGAAGGCTGTACCCCTTCACACCCTTAACTCCCTCCAACAGATGCTAAATGTGTCCCCCCAGAACCTTTCTATTTTTTATCTGGTTAGGATCCCTCCTCAAATTTAGCAGATGTGGCCTTCTGACACATGACACTTTGCTAGCCTCCTTGTATCTAGACATGGCCACATGGTCAAGATCCAAAGCATGAGTGGAAGCAATGTGTCCCACAGACTGGCAACATCACCCTGGAATGTGTTAGGAAGGCAGCGTCTCAAGCCCGCCACCACCTACAGACCCAGGGCCTCTCTGCTCCATGGCTCTGCCTGTACCCAGCTAGCACCTAAATCCTGACTGCCGAGACCTCCTACCCCCCACCTGACCCCCACCACAGCCACAGGGGAGACCTTGACCAGTGGCCACTGGTTGGGCTGGTTGAGAAGCTTGACAATGGCCGGGATGCCGTAGTTGAGGCGCACAGAGTTCTGGGCCATCTCGGCCTCCGGGTGGCGGCTGGTGAGGTGGCGCAGGGCACAGACGGCGGGCTCCGTGATGTCGTCCTTGTCGCCAGCCCGCAGGATGGCATGGATGAGAGCCTCCACGCCGCTGTTCTGGGTCACCAGCGTCTTATTCTTGCTGTTGTTGCACGTCAGGTTGGATAGAGTGCCCGTGGCACAGGTGAGGACGTTGACGTCGTCCACACTCAGCTGGTTCACCAGGATCTTCAGGACGCTCTCCAGGCCCTCCTGTGGGTTGTGGGGGAGGCAGCAGAGGGTGAGGGAGACTCTCTGCTCCCGGAGGTCTTCCCAAAGGTGTCCAGGGGGAGCGAGATAGCCATGCAGCTGAGAGCCAACGGGCCGTGCCCACGTGCCTGGGAACCGTTGCCCCGGCGCCTCTGCCGACGCCCCATGAGAAGGTGGCACAGTCCCATGGGGCAGTGGCACTCGGAGCGGCTGAGGGCTCCCCACAGAGCCACCACCAGCAAGCCATCTGTGACCTCAGGCCGGTCTCCAAGCTCATGCTCTTGCTTCCAACCCCCATCCCGCCCCCTGCATCCTCAGACCCAGGCAGGGTCAGAAGGAAAAGTGGAGGAGGCCACCTGTTTCAGTGGCCCAGCTGACTGCTCTTCCCTGGCTTCTCATCATCATTCTGGGCCTTCATGCTGCCCCTCTCAGTGGTCCCCAGACCAAATCCACTTCCAGGAAACATCAGTGATCTGGAAGCCTCACTTCTCCCAGGGGGAGCCACATGGGCCTTGTGGTAGAACAGAAAGACCCCAGGCTCTGAAATGACACTCCTGAATCCCACCTCTACCACTTACTAGCTGTGATCAAGGGCCATTACGTGACCACCCTGGGACCCTGTTTCTTCACCCAACCAACTGGGTCCCCTTTCCACCTCTAGTTGTTGAAAGGGCAAAGCAAGCCAATATCCACCAGGGCCTAAGCAGAGTCCAGCATGTAGCCGGGGGCCATTAAACAGCCTATTGATGGGGGGCAGGGGCCTCCTAGGAATGGTAATCAGGTGGGAAGGAGGGACCAGGAATCTTGTCCTAAAACTGCCATTTTTCCTTAAACTGTGTTTTTAGCTACCAGAGCCCTCAGGCCATCTCTTGGTACATTGCTGCTCCTTGTTGCAGGGTCTGTATCAAAATTACTCCCCTGGTATCATCTGAATGCCAGCTTAGGAATATCAGCCCCTTCCTCTGTTCCCCTTCCTGAGTCCTTAACAGCCATTAGAGCCCTAAGCTAAAGGGATGAGGAATTTCAGGGATTTCAGGGTATTTCCAGCCTTAGTCACAGTGGGGCAAGATGTAGAGGCCTCAGGCCTCCCACAGCTCCTAAAGTCAGAGTCCCAGACAGGAGACTGCCTGTGGCAAGAGGGGAGCATGAGGTGGCTGAAGAGGTGGACCCCAGGCCCCAAGGTCTCCCTCACCTGTTTGGTGGCCACATCCGAGAGGTTGCGCAAGGTCCAGAGACAGTTCTGTACAAGGCGGGGGCTGTTGCTTGTCAGGTGTTTGCCCAAGGCCTGCATCCCACCTGGGGCGAGAGATGGGGGCGTGTAAGGCAGGGGAGCATGGCCCACCAAGCCCAGCTGCCAGACAAAGCCCCCACCCCATCCCTCCTGGGCACAAGGGCTGTCCTCGCAGGCCATCCTCACCAGCCTCCACGATGGCAGGCTTATTGCTGGGACACACAGACAGCACCTTGAGCACACGGCTGGTGGTCCAGAGCAGCTTCTCATAGCTGTAGTTGCGCATGATCTGCACAAGGGCCTGGGGTCCTCCATTGGCCAAGATGATGAGCTGAGGGGGAGACAGTGGAGAATGAGTGTGAGATAGACAAGAAATATGACAAGGAACAAGGAAAGGGGAGGGGGTGACAGAGCTGTCGCTACCAAACTTCAACTAAAACCTGAACAGCTTTTATGACTACTAAAAAAGCCAAAATTTTGGGACACCTGGGTGGCTCAGCAGTTAAGCACCTCCCTTCAGCTCAGGGTGTGATCGTGGAGACCCAGGATCGAGTCCCACATCGGGCTCCCTGCATGGAGCCTGCTTCTCCCCTGCCTGTGTCTCCGCCTCTGTCTCTCTCTCTGTGTCTCTGATGAATAAATAAATAAAATCTTAAAAAAAAAAAAAGCCAACATTTTTTTTTAAGATTTATTTATTTTATTTATTTATGATAGACAGAGAGAGAGAGACAGAGAGACAGAGACAGAGGTGGAGACACAGGCGGAGGGAGAAGCAGGCTCCATGCAGGGAGCCCAATGTGGGACTCCATCCCGGGTCTCCAGGATGGCGCCTGTTGGGGCCAGGCGGGAAGGGAAACTCCTTAAGATGGCGGATACCCCAAAATGGCTGAAGTTCCTGTCACTACCTCCACTTGGGACGCCAATGGACCAATGACCTGCTGACAGCTTGACGCAGACCCTTAGACCTCTCCTTTGGACTTCCCCAACCGAACCCAATGCCCTTCAAACCCCAGAGGAGGAAGTCACCTTTGACTGGCCGAATTGCAATCCTTCCTCTGCATAGTGAGGGTCACTCTGACTGGTTGGGTTGCAATCCTTCCTTTGCATATGAGCCAACCAATAGGAAACCGTTCTGCCTTACAAGGTTATGTAAACCCCCTACCACCTTGTATTGGCGCGACTTCCCCGACCCATGAGTCGTGGAACCTCGCCCGAGGGTGCCTGCAATAAAATCTGTTCTTGGACCCTTGCTTGCCTTGGCGGTCTCATTTCCATTTAGTTACTAAAAAAAAACCTAACAGCGCCCTGGGCCAAAGGCAGGTGCTAAACCGCTGAGCCACACAGGGATCCCCAAAAGCCAAATTTTTTTTTAAAAAGATTTTATTTATTTATTCATAGAGACAGAGAGGGAGAGAGAGAGAGGCAGAGACACAGGCTGAGGGAGAAGCAGGCATCATACAGAGAGCCTGACGTGGGACTTGATCCAGGGTCTCCAGGATCACGCCCTGGGCTGCAGGAGGCGCTAAACCGCTGCACCACCAGGGCTGCCCAAAAGTCAAAATTTTTAAAAGGATGTCTGGGTGGCTCAGTCAGTTAAGTATCTGTCTCAGGCTCGGGTCATGACCCTGGGGTCCTGGGATCAAGCCCCATCTTGGGGTCCCTGCTTAATGGAGAGTCTGCTTCTTCCTCTGCCTCTCACCTCGCTGGTTCTCTCTCTCTCTCTCTCAGATAAATAAATAAAATTTTAAAAAAGATAAAAGAAAAAAGGATAATAAACAATGCTGACAAGGATGAGGTGAAACTACTAACAGACACCACCAACAACATTGTAAGTAACACAATCCTTTTGGAAAGCATTTGGCAATCTGGGTACAAGCCCAGAAATATTAAAAACCCTTAGCCCCACTGATGAAAAAATTTCCCATTCTTTGGGAAAAGCTGTGTGTCCAAAAATGCTCATGACAGCATTGTTTATAAAGGTAGACAATTGAGAGCAATCTAAATGCCCTCCCTAAGAATGAAGTCTGGGACCCCCACTTAATGAAATGCTATCTGCCATTGTAGAGGGTGATTTTGAGGGTACGGGAAAAAAATTAAAAATGCATAGAAAACAGATGCAAAGTTGTACATTTGCCATGACTACAACCATGTACAGACATGCCCACAGGACGAGTCCACAGGAAGCACACGGAGATAGCAGTGGTTGCATAAGGATAGTGACTTTTTTCCTTTTCCTCAACCTCAGAATATTCAGTTATATGATGAAAGATGTACAACCACGTATACTCATATATTTAAACCAAAAGGGGTAAAGAGGCAGTGGTCCAAAGCTACAGCTGGATAGAAGGAGATACACTGGAAGGCCTCGGGGTGTGGTTGGGGGGTGTGCGGCAGCAGAGCTCACCTTGCTCTCCTGGTTGCCATAAGCCAGGAGCTGCAGGCAGTCGGTGGTGATGGCCAGGAACTTGGGGTTGTTTTTGTTGAGGAGGGGCACCATCTTCTGCAGCCCATCTGCCAGGCGCACCGCCATCTTGGCGCCCTCCTGGTACAGCAGCAGGTTGTGCAGCGTGGTGATGGCGTAGAACAGGACCGACTCCACCGGGGAGCTGGGATGGTGGGCAGTGGTTTGATGTGAGTCAGGCCCCAAAGGTCTGGCATAAATGAGGGCTACCTCCCCCAGGAAGCCTTCCCCATACTAACACCCCCATGGAAACAGCACTTTAGGGATCGAGTCCCACATCGGGCTCCCTGCATGGAGCCTGCTACTCCCTCTGCCTGTGTCTCTGCCTCTCTCTCTCTGTGTCTCTCATGAATAAATAAATAAAATCTTAAAAAAAAAAAAAAAAAAAGGAAACAGCACTTTACTAAAACCTCATCGTCCCTTGAGCCCAGCCCCGCTCTTAGGCAGAGATCACACAGCACACACCACTCCTCTCCCCACCAGGACCATGACTCCTCCTGCTTCTGGGCTTTTAGCCCAGGGCTGAGCGCACAGTCGGTACTAAGGAACTACCACATGGGAGGCTGTGTGCTAGAAAGGTCCTATGAGGGGGTCAGAGTATCTCCAACCTCAAGGAACTCACAGCCTGGCATGGATAGAAGGAGAAAGACCAATGAACCTTGTAAGGCTGGGAAAGATACAGGGGGCAAGGGGCTGTCTCTGCTGTTCCCTCTGCCTGGGATACTCTTCCCTTCATCTACGCAGGCCAAACGCCACTCATCCATCAACACCCCGCTGTTAGAGTGCACAGCTTCCTGGAGCTCTGAGCAATCCTGGGCAGACCTCTCTCCAGCATATACTGTATCCTAGTAACTAACACGCCGGTCACATGCCCATCCCGCCTGCTAGGCTGTGAGTAGCTGAGCACCAGCACGGGCATGGGTCTGCACCTGGCACACAGTAGGTCCTCAATACCTGATGTATGGAAGCCCAGGGAAGAGAGAGGGTAAGCCCAAGTGAGGGGAGTCCCCCGTATCCCCCAGTGGGTAGGGGTGGGTACCTGAGCATGCGGACCAGGGCAGGGATGCCGCCCGACTTGAAGATGGCAAGCAGCCCCTCGCGGTGGTGGGAGAGGTTGTGCAGGATGCTGGTGGTGCAGCGGGCTGTGTCCAGGTCACTGGTGTTCTGCATAGTACGCACCACGGCTGCCACCAGCTGGGGCGAGCCCATCAGCGCCCGCCGCGACGCCTCTTTCTTGGACAACTGGTTCACAATCATGGCTGCCTTGGTCACCACCACCTGAGGGGGATGGGGAGGGATGGGAAAAAGTGAGCAGAGGAGCCGGGCTGGCTGGGCTGGCTGCCACCGTGAGATGGGGGGAGGAGGGCAAGTGACCCCCTCTACAAAGTTCAGAGGGACCCAGCTCAGACTCTCTCTGCTGATAGGGCCCTGGGTAGAGCCGGCCCCTGAAGACACCTGACCTCTCCCCTCTCTGCCCTGCCCCCACCCTGGCCAGGCCTCCCACGGACCGGGTCCTCATCATTGAGCAGTTTGGTGAGTTCAGGCAGGGCCCGGGTGGCCAGCTCGGCATCGTCCTGGTAGTTGATGAGATGTACGATGGCTGACTTGAGCAGCTGGGACGGCTCGGCCAGCCGCTGCAGGTTGGTGGTCTGCCCTTCCACCTGGGTGGCCAGTAGCAGCGAGCTGTCTTCGCCTGTCACGCCGGGACACATGGCCTCCCGCACCCGCTTGGCTCTGGCCGTCGTGGACATTTGGTACTCCAGGTCACCTGGATGGGGGGGTGTCAATGGGCAGGGACTGAGTGGCAGGATGGGCAGGGGTGGGGAAGCACAGGGGGCAGGGCAGGCCTTGTAGACTGGGCTCTCTGGGCTGGCTCCCACCCCAACCAAAGCCCCAGCAGCACCACTTGTGGTTCTGCCTCTCACCGGGGGAGGTCACCACCACCTCAGTCATGTCAGCTGTAAAATGAGGCACCACCTGTTCTGTCCATCGCAGGGAATTTTTATAGGGAATTAAATGAGATAATAGTTGTAATTTGCTCTGAAAAGAAAGAATGTCCTACACACATCACTACAAAAGTGTTAGTGAAGATTACTATCATGGGAACAGTTAAAAAATTTTGACCACTTACAAAGTGCTTAGCAGTGAATTAAACGTTTTTCTTATATTTTCTCATTTAATCTCATAATAACCCTAAAAGATAAATACTATTACGATCTCCATTTTACAGATGGGGAAACTGAAGCACAGAGAGTTGTTTGGGTTTTTTGTTGTTGTTGTTGTTGTTGTTGTTGTTGTTTTCCTAGGAGCCCAAGCTGGGGTCTGAACTCAGACAGGCTGACTCCAGAGCCCAAACCCCAACCCTATGCCGCTCCCTTAACAATCAGGTTGGGGTAGCAGCAGACAACCCAGGTCTCCTTTCTTTGAGATCTCATGATTCTAATTATATCCTCATCATCTCTGAAGGAGGCAACTCTCCCATTATAGAGGCAAACAAATAGAGGCTCAGAGGGCTACCCAGTATCATACAACAGATCAGAGGGAAAGGTGGGAGTGTGGGTTTCAGAAAGCAGGAGGTGGGTTCTTAGCTAAGACTCCGGGTTCCACCCCCTGGGTGGGTCCAGCAGCCCCACAAATAGGTACCCAAACTTCCCAGGCAGCCCGGCCCTGGCAAGTGTCCCGATGCCCTGAGGAGAAAGAGGCAGCGGTTCCACCCTCCAATTAGTCAGGAAGGAGGAGACACCCACACAGCTTTCCCACCTGGAATGCTGTACTTTTAGCTACCAACACAATGCCTGGTTCTCCCTGCCTGCTGTCAGGGAGGAGAGCCCCGGGCGGAGGCTGAGTTCTGAAGGGCCTCCACCTGTCACAGCCCGCCCCATACCTTTCCCAGCTCCCACAGCTCATCCCGTTCAGTGTTCGGGGCCTGGGAGGCACCCGTGGACAGCAGTCCTAGGGCTCAGATACCCTTCTCACCCCGGGGAGGCCAGCGCCCTAGGTGAGGCATCCCCTGCTGCCGGAGGCCCAGAGATGGGAGCCCGAACTGGGTCGTCACTCTGCCACCTGGCCACAACCTACCTGTAGGTCTCCTCCTACCCCCGTCAGGAGCCCTGCCTCCCCGTCAAACTTGGGGCCCCTGGAGCAAAAGGACCATCTTCCCTGATCATCCATGGGCCTCCTGAGGGCAACAGTGACACCTTGTCATTACACTGTAAGCTCATGGAGGGTAAGGACCCTGCCTTCAGACTTTGCTTCTCCCTCCATACGAGAAGTTTAAGGAAGAGGAATTTGCCGCCCTCTCAGATGGGGGCAACCCTGAAGTAGCTGTGCCTCCTCCCTCAGACAGGAGCTCCCATTGTCTGCCTCCTTTTGCCCTGACCTTCCTCCAGGACCCACACTGGTTTTCTGCTAAAGTATTTCCATGGAATAGTTTCCATGAACGAGTCCCCGGGGCTCCTGACCTTGGCTCTGGGGCACCTGGGTATAGGTGGTGGTCTTCTTGAGCGTGTACTGGCGCCCGCAGGCCTCATCCTCTTCCATGATGCCCTTGCTGCTGACGGAGGGCACACAGGTGTTGGCACCCGAGTGAATGCCAGAGTCATAGGTGTATGTCTGTTGCCACTCAGTCACTTTGATGGGTTGTTCAATCAGGTTCATCACTTCCATGATGGCTGCTGGGGACACAAAGGAAGACAAGAAATCAGCTGGCTCCAGTGAGGCAGCCCATCATCATCTGGCCCAGCCCCCGGTTTCAGCCCATTCCCAGGCCCAGGGAGGGAATCCCCACCGTGGGGTGGGATACCCTAGGGTGAGTCCAGGGCTTAGATCGCTTACCTCCAGCCCCGGATGGAGCACACCCCAGGGGGCGTGGGGCAGTTAAGAGCCAGATGCCCCAACCTAGCCCTGGGCTTGCTCATCTTGGTCTCCCCAGGCCCACACTCTCAGAGCAAAAGGTAACCAGGGCCTCCAGCAGGTTCTGGGGTCCCACAGACACCCCGCCCCCATGCACTAGGGCTCTCTGGGAAAGTCTATGGTGAGGCAGCTACACCCCAAGCATCGGACAGGAAACTGGGTGGGGCAGGGAAGCAGTCAGACGGGTTTCTCTGGAGAGCCCTGGAGGCTGCTGGGAGCAGTCAGAGGCTCCCTTAGAGACTCCAGGATCTCAAGGATCTTTCCTGAAGATGGGGCAGGATCACAAATGACCCCAGAGGCCCAAGCTCTAAGATCCCTGTCTCTCCAGCACCCCAGGTCTTAGAAGCCTTTTCTGAAATTCTGAGCCCCATCGATCAGTTCCAAATATCAGCCACATATGACTGGACCAATTCACTTCGCAGAACCAAACCCTCATTTGCAAAATGTGGGTAACACCACCCCACCCCCACCCCCCGCAGGTTGTTATGAAGGCCAGATTTGTAAAGGACCCAGCCAGGTGCCAGGTACATAGTGGGTGCTGGGTGTTGGTGGCCGGCCACCTATCAGCGGTGCCTCTCCCTCAGTGGGGGGTTCCCACTTCCTGTCTTTGTAGAACCCAGGCTAAGATAAGGGGTGAGGCAGGCCTCAGGAGGGGTTGCTGCTATTCAGGCGCCCCTCCATCTCTCTGCAGAGACGTGGGGGCACTTGAGGTGCATGAATTGCTGGGCCATACTGTGTACCAGGGTGGTGGACTCTCACTCGGTCTGTTTGGCTTCCCTGTCTCGGGAGCTGACCCCTGAGTCCCACCCCTGGGAGGAGAGGCAAGGGGGGCTGTGCTCTGGTGAGGGCCCGCCTGGTGCAGAGCTTTCAATAAGGCTGTCATCTGCGCAAGCAGGTTTTATTTTATTTTTTTTTAATTTATTTATGATAGTCACACACAGAGAGAGAGAGAGAGAGAGAGAGAGAGGCAGAGACACAGGCAGAGGGAGAAGCAGGCTCCATGCACCGGGAGCCCAACGTGGGATTCGATCCCGGGTCTCCAGGATCGCGCCCTGGGCCAAAGGCAGGCGCCAAACCGCTGCGCCACCCAGGGATCCCTGCGCAAGCAGGTTTTAATGCAGATCCTCTGCTCCCCCCGTTTATGGACAGGGGAACTGAGGCTCCACCAGGTAAGGTGGCAGAGTTGGGACCAGGCAGAGGTGTGGGTGACACCCAGTCTGAGGCCTTGGCACATGCAGACTGTAGGCTGGTCCACCCATGAAGGCGGGCAGTACTCAGCACCTCAGAGCTATTGTCCCATGGTGATGGGGGCCCAGGTTCAGCTGGTTCAGCCTGGCCCCACCCCAGGAACAAAGATCTTTAGGGTATGTCTTCCCAGGGTCACCCTCAAGGAGGAGGATGAATGATCCTCAGGCCTCCCTGCCTTTTATGGTGACACGGGCTCCTTCCCGGCCTATGAGCACACCTGGAACAGGCAGAGGCAGGAGCCAGACCAGCTCCCGGCTGCCTCCTTCCTCTCCTCTCTTCACCCCAAGTGACTCAGAGTTTCGAGCTGATAAACAGAAGCAGGCCCAGAACACCAGACAGCAGGCTCCGTGCCACCAGATGCACCCAGCTGCTTCCCAGGCACTGGCCAAGTGCGGCTATTTCAGGAGGAGCCCCCGGCCCCCACCCTAACCACGCACTGCCCAGTGTGCTCCTGCCTTCCCTGGTGGGAGAAAGAACAGAGAACTTTGGAGGAGGAAGCTTGTCACGGAGCCACCCCTGGGGAGGGGAAAGCCCTGGGGAGGAGGCCTTGGGCGGCCCAGTGCTGCAGAAGGAAGGTAAAACTCTATCAGGATTAACCCTGTAATGTCACTATGCCAGGCAGAGGGCTGAGCAGGCATCTGGGCACTGAGATCTGTTCAGGACAACCTGGAAATCTCCAGCCCTGCTCAGTAAGAACACCCCACCTGAGCCAGGAAGAGCCCCCCAGCATCCTGCCCAGAGCAGAGACCATTCCACCTCCCCCTGGGGCTTCTCAGCCAGAGGGGCACAGGCCTCACCCAGAACCTCAGGATCAACCCCCCCCCACTCCCCACCAGCCTCCATCCACAGGGACCCCCGAGATCAAGGCTGGCCACAGGAGGAGCATTTTCCCAGCCAGGGAGGGGGGTGGCGGGGGTGGAGGCCCCTCACTACCACCCCCCCAGCCCAGGCCTGGAGCCAAGAGAAGCTAAGGGCTGCCCAGAGCAAGACAGAGGCCACCAGGAGGTCAAAAGATCCATGGGGGAGGGGACACTCGGTTGCTTTTACAGTCAAATGAATCTCCAGCCTGGTGGGGCATTTTACCGGTCCCAGTTTCCAGTTGAGGAGACTGAGGCACCACCCTAAGAACAGGGCAGCGTTCTGCTGGGATCCGGGGTCTGCCTCTCTGCACACCAGCCTCCAGCCCACTAAACAAGGCTGCTCCCCTGGCTCCTAACGGGGGACGCCCTGCAAGGAGAGAGGGCCAGACACTGGTGTACGACAGGGGCTGGCCAGAGCATGGGTAGAGCTGAGCCCCTTGCCAGCAGGCGAAGAGGCTGGGGAGGCCAAGGGTGCTCACAGTTGGAGCCAGAGAGCCCTGGCTGTGAACTCAGGAGTACCAGGCCTTTGGTCCTGGTCCCAGCCACAGAGACCCAGGCTGACTGGTGTCCTTAGGCAATTACTTGCCCTCTGTGCTTCATCCACAGAGAGCGTGGCCCAGCTGATCTCAGAGGAGCGCTGAGATCTCAGCCTTCCCAAGACAGACAAGAGAAGGCTGAAGGTGGGCCACGGGAGAGTCAGCAAACAGTGCAGAGAGGACACACACTAGAACTCTTCTCAAGGAAAGGATCCTAGGGTGAGCTCCTCCTGCAGCAGGAAGGTGAGGAGTCAGACCTCAGGAAGGACTGTCAGGCCACCCCACCTTTCTCACTGGCTCCCAGGGGAACCAGGGCAATTCTCTCTCACCAAGAAAGAAAAGTGCTGTTTTGGCACTTCCCAGGGCGGAGGGGGCCGCACCCAGCTTGGTCTCACCCCTCTCCACCCTGCACCCGGAGCGGGATTGCCACAATGCCCCTGGACAGAGCCAGGGTGGAAGTGGGCGAGACAGGCGCGGGCCCTGCCCACACGCTCTGGCCAGAGCCGGGCAGAGCCAGACACCGGGCAGCTTTCTGAGTTGCATGGGGGGCCTTTGTTTCACAGCATGCTCTACTGCTGGAACACAGGAGGCTGAAGCAGCTCGGGAGATCACAGGGTAGGGTGGGGACAGTACAGGGGACAGGAAGAGAAGCCTGGGCCCTGGAGAAGGAGCGCCAAGGAAGGAATGTGCAGGCAAGCTCTGGACAGACCCTGCCCTTCATTCCTGCTTCCTCCCCAGCAGCCTGCCACTGGGCACCCTAAGTCCAAGACGGTCCCGGCACAGCGTGGTCCAGCCGAGACGCTAAAATTAACTGCCACTGGGGTTCCTGGCTAGCTCAGTCGGAGGAGCAGGCGACTCTTGATCTTGGGGTTGTGGGTTCGAGTCCCACATTGGGTATAGCAATTGCTTAAAAATATTTTTAAAAACCTAAATACGGTTTAGGTTTAGCCATTGCTTAAAAATAAAATATTTTTAAAAACCTAAATAAGGGGGATCCCTGGGTGGCTCAGCGGTTTGGCACCTGCCTTTGGCCCAGAGCACGATCCTGGAGTCCCGGGATCAAGTCCCGCGTCGGGCTCCCTGCATGGAGCCTGCTTCTCCCTCTGCCTGTGTTTCTGTCTCTGTCTCTCTCCCTTTCTCTGTTTCTCATGAATAAATAAATAAAATATTAAAAAAAAAAACAACTAAATGAACCCCCCCCAAAAAAATGAACCCCACATCGGGCTCCTTGCATGGGACCTGGTTCTCCCTCTGCCTTGTCTCTGCACCCCCACCTCTCTCATGAATAAATAAATAAAATCTTTTAAATAAATAAATAAATACCTAAATAAACAACAACAACAAAAAAAAACCCTGCCACCAGACCTACCTCAGGCCCCTGCCCCACCAGTGTTGGGCACAGCTGGGCTGGGCGGCAGGGTGCCAAGTGTCAATAAAACACCTGGGAATGAGGACAGGAACGGGCCACCGAAGAGGCCAGCTGGAAGCAGACTTAGACACATTGCATGGGAGAGCTAGGAGAACAGGCAGGGTTCTCCAGCAATTCCTTGGGCCAGAGACCAGCAGATCACGGGCGCAGAGGAAGGGGGCTGCAGGCAAGGCCGGAGAGCACGGGAGTGGGGGGAGACGATCCATCCATCCTCACTCACTGGCTGCGTGCCCTTGGGCAAGTCACTCGACTTCCCTGAGCTTCATATTCCTCATCTGCAAGGTAGAGATAATCAAGCCGCTCCTTTCTTCAGACCATGTGTGGATTGTGGATCTAACACAGCCGTGACCGTGGAATCCCTCTGTGGGCAGTAAAGGCCCAGGCGAGCTTTTTTCTATTAGCAAAGCAAAGAAATGGCAGAGGAGGAGCCAGCAGTCAGGCCCAGCAAGGTGGCCAGCGGCCAAGCCTTCCTTTTTTGGGACCCAGGACCAGGGAGGATGTCTACCTCCCAGCCCTAGGCCAGAGCCCCTGGAATGGGGTGAGGTGTGACTGGGGAGTTGTGCCTGGTCCAGGAGGGAAGACACTGCTCTGCCCACTGACCACTGCCTTGCCTTTCCCCAGTGACATGTGCTGCTTCCTGCAGCCAGGGCTGGCCAGGCCAGTAGGCCTAGACATTCCCCACATAGCAGTCCCAGGAGAGAGGCTGGGCTGAGCAGGGCCACCAGCCCCCACCCTTCCCCACTGTCTCTGACTCCAGCAGAGACTTGGCCAGCGCTCCCAAGAACAGACAGAAACAGACCCTAGAAAAGTAGAGACAGATGTGACTGCTTCCTTTGAGAGCCCTGTCTCCCCCAACAGGCTGGGGCTTCCCAGCTAGGCCTCCCCCCTCAGACTGGTGTGGCTTCCAGGAGGAAACAACCCACAGACTAGAGGTCCCTTGACAGGTACTGTAATCTCTCCATTCAGAATGGTCATTCCAGGGCAGCCCGGGGTGGCTTGGCGGTTTAGCGTTGCCTTCAGCCCAGGGCGTGATCCTGGAGACCCAGGATCAAGTCCTACGTCGGGATCCCTACGCGTGGAGCCTGCTTCTACCTCTGCCTGTGTCTTTGCCTCTCTCTGTGCGTCTCTCATGAATAAATAAATAAAATCTTAAAAAAAAAAAAATGATCATTCCAAGCAGGCAGAGACTAAAGTGGGCACAATGTATGGCCAGGGCCCTGGGGACAGGAGTAGACAGAGGAGCCCATCCTCCTGGATGCTTCCAGAGGAAAACCCTCGCTTCCGGTCTGGAGGGCAGCCCAAGCTGCTGCCCAGGACTGGCTGGGGGTAGGGGAGGCTCAGGTCAGGCCGTCCCAGCTGCTGTTTGTTTTCTTCCTTCTGGGCTCCCTCCCAAAGCAAACAAACCAGGGTGGGAAAATGAAGGGGACTTGGAGGAAGGGGGGAAATGCAGGGCCAGGTGGCTCGACCCTGAGAACCTCCGGGCTCCCCTGGAGAGGGCTCCAGCTGGAGCTCCCGTCTCTGCTGCTGACACTCTGTGGGCAAAACCCCAAACCAGTGGATCACCCCAAACCAGGGCTCCTGGGAATGGAAAAACACTTCATCCAGCCTCAGGAAACAACAAAGGCTTGACCTGGGTCAGTGTCACATCACACACAAGGGCCCCTGGAGGGGGGGTTGGGGGGTACAGCTGGTATCCTCTCCTTAGGGGGTGGTCCCAAGGGTTTCATTCTGCAGGATTGCCTGACCCCCTCCTGGAAGTACAAGGAAAAACCGACCATGACTTCCCTGTTCTACATTTGCTGGAGAAAACTAGGATGTGGATAAAGATTTGGTTAAAATTTGTTTTTGTTTTTTAAGATTTTTATTTATTCATTCATGAGACACACAGAGAGACAGAGGCAGAGACATAGGCAGAGGGAGAAGCAGGTTCCCCGCAGGGAGCCCGATGTGGGACTCCATCACGGGACCCCAGGGTCATGACCCAGCTGAAGGCAGATGCTCAACCACTGAGCCACCCAGGCGTCCCTAAAATTTGTCATTGTATACAGAGCAGGAGATCATTGAGACGGAGGCTAAGAAACAAGATAACGCTAAGAAAAAGAGAAGGGGAAGAAATGTTAGTGGTGGGATTATGGAGTGAGATAATGGGTGATTTTTTTTCTTCTCTTGCAAACTTTTCTAAACTTTCCAATCTTTGAAAAGATACTACTTTTTCAATCAAGAGGTTGGAGGACTCACACAGTCCAGCCTCTCCCTCAGCCCCAAACAAGAAGCATACTGATCGCCCAGCCCCTTCCCAACTCTTCGGGTCTCTGCCACTCAGTCCCTGTCCCTACAGTGAGAAGGAAAGCAGGCTTGTTAACTCACACTCTGCAGGTCACAGGGAACAGAACTTCTTGTCCTGAGGGTTCCCAAAGGCTGAGGTGCCAGGAGGCTGAGCAAAGAGCTTTCTCTTCAGGCCTGGCCAAGGAAGTTGCTAGAAATTGGGGCAGTCCATGCCCCCAGACCTCCACTAGATTTAACCATGCCCCAGGGGAGAGACCTGAGGGACCTGCCCCAGCCACACCTCTCTTTCTCTTCACAGGGGTCACTGGGCCAGCCGGCTCATGGATACCTGTCCCTCTTACCACCAGGACTCTCTTCTCCCAACAGACACAAGACTGTGAGTTTCCCCAGGGACCCCCCCCACAGACCTCAGACTGGCACCAAAGGCACTGACTCCTTCCTGTCCTCTCTCCTGGGCATGATGGCCCTCGTCCAGCTCCCACAGAGCCCTGCTTCCTCCTCCTCAGAGAAGAGTCACCTCTGACCTTCCATCTCTCCCTCTTATTCAGCAATGCAAGATCTCATCTCTAACAGACAGGAAGTCCTTCCTCCTGTCTAGCCCCATTCCTTCCCTAAGAGCATCAGTCCCGATGGCTCTTGTGTCCTCAGGGATGATAGAAAACAGCAAACCCAGAACCCTCTCTATAGCATCAGATCATTCTCTTTCCTTCTCTGTCACATCAAGTCCCCTCAGGCTTCTCTTCTCCAAGATCAATAACCCTGGGAGGGGGGGTATCCTCCTCTTGACCTGAAGGGATTCAGAAGCCCAGTGCTGACAGGCAGTGCCCAGGCTACACCCACAGAGAGGCCCCATTTCCCAGGCCCATTCTGGTGTCAGGTGCCCAGCTGCCAGAGACAGTGACACCAGCCCCTCCCTCAGGGACCAAGGCCCTGGCTGACCCCACCCACACCCACCACCAGAAAGGCCCGCCCAGGTCCTAGGGTCCCGGGCTCCCAAGCAGAGGACAGCCAGCTTGAGGCCCCAGAGCAGCCAGGCACAATCCTGAAGCACAGTGGCCCAGTCCTAAATCTGACTCTCGTTTCCGTCTCCTCCCCAGAGACCAGGGCCCCCTTCATCTTGGCACAGCCCCAGTCCCCAGCAAAGCAGGAAGCCCCACTTCCTATACAGGGACAAGCCCAGAACAGCCCAGGGTCTGGCCCAATGCAGGCCAGGAGGCAGCAGCAAGTTTGACCCCTGCACTCCTCTCCCCCACCAGCCTCTTCCACACATGTCCACAGCCTCTGGCCTTGGGGAGATGTCCCCCTCCCCGAGGAACTAAAAACCAAGCCACGGAGGTTTCAGAGGGCTGGAGGCTAGGACATGAGTCACCCCCTCCTGACCAACCTGCCCCCACCTTCACCACCCACACATACCTTCCTTGGTCATTTAGAATTCTCTTCTCCCCAGATTCCCAAACAGAGGCTCTCAAAGAACAGTGGCAGATTCTTCCCAGAGCTGTAGTGGGGTGATACACAGTACAGCAGAATGGGATCCAGGCTTGGAACCAGAGGACCCAAAGGCTAGTCTTGGCCCTTCTTGGGTTTCACTGTGCAACCTTGGACAAGTTAGTTAACTTCCCTGAGTTTCAATTTCCCCATCTGCTGGACAGAGTAATGATAACCTGCCTCTAGGGACAGTCATAAGGATTAAGTGAGAACACTCCATGAAAGTGCTTAGTATCTGTAAAGTCCTCCCTTGCTTTTTTAGTCACCATTTATCAAATACTTATTGGGTTATGGGTATTACTCCCATTTTGTAGAGATCACTGAGGCTCAGAGAGATGAAGGGACCTGACCAAGGCCACACAGGTAATAAGTGGCAGGGCTGGGATTCAAACCCAGAACTGCCCTACAGTAATATCTCTCCAACAGCCCTTCCACTGACAGTCACCCCATCACTCTCAAGGGGTTCCTCTCCCCAACCCTTCATCAGAACCTGCCCCATGAGCCTCCAGGAGGGAATCCTTCCTACATGTTCTCAAAGCTTCCACCCTGGCACCCCAAACAGAGGTTCAGAGGGAATGGGGGCGGGGGCAGGGTGGAGGGCTCCTGTCACCCAAGCTGGGGCTTGATCTAACAAGAAATGACTCACTGGATCCTACCTTTCCCCCCCCTCCCCCACTACCTCCCTTCCCGTGAACCACCAGTTTCCACCAGGCACCTCCTAGTGATACTTCCTCAGTATTATCTTTTGATCACAGCCACAAACCAGATTAGCTAAACTAATCATTTAACCAATGTAATTACAATGCCTTCCCCTCCTCCACTTTGGCACACAGAAGAAGGAAAACAGGTTATTTTTGCCCAAATTCCATGACCTTTTGCCTCCCCGGAGGAACAAGACCCACTAGAGCAGAAGGATGGGGTTCCCTCCTCAGCCTCCCCTAACCCAGGGCGTTCCATGAATATGGATCTGACCCCTCCTCACTCCCCCAACTACAACCATGAAAGAGGTGGTAGGGTCTTCCCAACTGAGTCAGGCCCAATAGCCCTGATTCCCTCCAAAACTCCCTTCACCCCAAGACTGAGGGAAAGCCTGGCTCTTCTATTTCCCCTCTGCTCCTCAAGGAGGCTGGCATCCAAATCCCTGCAGAGAGACCACACCTCCTATTTTTGAACACGAGGGCTGAAAGCCTGGTGATCTCCAACTCTGCCCTGGGAAGGGGCTCTCAGGAGATTGGGGTGAAAGGGGCCCTCATGCAGCTCTACTGAAACCTTCCCCCCTACAGCCTGTCCCACTCTCCCCACCCAGCAACCTCAGGAATGGGTGGCTGGGGGACTGCCTGCAGAAGCCTCTAGAAGGAATGCAACTTCAAAATCCAGAAATCAAATGGAAACCAAACCCCAAGCTCCACACTCTTCAGACTCAAAGACCAGCCAGCTATATAACGTGGGGGATGGGGTAAGGGAAAAAAAGGCCAGAACAATCGCTCCCCCCTCCCCACCCTCGTCAGTTTGGCCTGGCCTTGCCCCACCCCCATTCCTGGGGAGGGGGCAAAGCTTGGGAGAGAGGCACTGGCGCAGGCCTCAAGCGAGGGGGTGTGGTGGTCCCCGGAGGCAGGAAGAGAA